TCGCCTAAAGAGGTACACGAAAGAGAATGAGGCCAGACGAATAAACAGGCTGTTCGCAACACAACCTGCGAAAGTGTACGCTCAGTGGCAGGGGCCTAACAGCAGAGCTAACCCACCAAGACTGGAAACTGGAAGATACTGGAAAGTCATATGGGAGAAGGAGGTTGCACATAACAGCAGTGCACAATGGCTGGTGACCCTGAGAGAGGAGCACAGCAATCTCCCTGAACAGAACCCAACAATAATTACAGGGAACAGCAACGTACTTCTTTTTCATTTTGGTCGAATGTAACATGCGAGCCTTTGGGGTTGATTTGAAACACATTTATTTCAATCTGATTGATAAAAGCCGAACTGCAATGACAATTCCAAAACGATCATAACCCTGGACTGTTCGCACGTGTCTCAGCAGATGAGCCCGTGACCAAAGACGGCGCGTGTGCTAAAGACTCTGGCCTGGTGACGGGTCCAACTCATACTTACCTGGCAGGGGAGAGGCTCAGCCATTGCACTGCGGTTGTGCTGACCCCTGCGAATTCCCCAAATGTAGCAATCTCGACTGCAAAATTTCTGGTAGTGGGGGACTGCGTTCGCGCTCTCCCCTGATGAGTTTGTCAATGGCAATTTCTCACTTCTGCGATTTGTGCAGCTCTCCTCTGCACCAGTGCTCGTGTTGGCTACGGCGAAAGCCAGTTGGGAAACTGCAAGTGGTCGTTCACTCATTGGGCTAGGTTCCTCGGAACATTGATTGCCGCTTTTCTATTGGGCCACCTTGGGTTAACTGACCCACAGTACCCAGCAATTGCTCAGCTTTTGTTTCATTTGCGGGCTGGCAAGCAAAACCGTTCCCCCCAGTGATCGCAGAAATGCGTGGAGTTGTTTGGCATGTCAATGTTTTCGCTGTCGCTATTTGACATTTGTCACCGTCACTGTAGCCCGCACTGTCAGCAATGAAGTCATCCCCTGTGCCGCTTTGCCCTTATCGCTTCTCGGCCTTTTGGCTAAGATCAAGTGTAGTATCTGTTCTTATCAGTTTAATATCTGATACGTCCCCTATCTGGGGACCATATATTAAATTGATTTTTGGAGTCGGGAGATGGAAGAGGGGCTTGCTCCTTCCACTCCACGCATTGACCTGGTATTGCAGTACATCCAGGGACGGTGCATTTTCCCTCTTGGTTGAAGTTAAACGTTTCAGTGGAGTCTGCGAAAGGCCCTTGATCCATGCTCACTGCAAACATCTGGAGGAAGTTCACTGGTCCTTCTTGCGGTCTGAAAAGCTTGATGTGTTTTGAAGGGGCAGAAACTCTCGGGCAAGAAAAATGCCTGGCATCCTCGCTGTACAGGGAAATGTGGACATGACTTAAAAATCCCTCTTCGAAAAGTTTTCGGTTCCTTTGTGGTGGGATTTTGGAGTCCCCGCAAAATGGAAAAGAGCGCCGAGCATTTGGCGGCAGGCCTTGGAAAATTGATGGCGGATTCAGCGAATTGATGCCATTGAGATTCACAGGCCAAAGGCTGTCTGAATTTGTTGACGGCCTATTCCCAAAACAACTGTAATCTGGACTTTCGCCTGGATGAAAAATTGGCTCGGACGCTCGCGTTCCTACAGGCGCCTTACTCTTGCTTCCCGAGACTGGTACGCCGAGGCCCTCCCAGCGGAGACGATCAGCTCAGCCAGGCAGCTGCGGAAGCTGCCTCATCCAGTGAGTTTGTCTTGATGTGTCTTCACCAAGGTCGTTTTAGTGAACGAAGACATTCGAACTACCTAAAATTGAAGAACCCCCCCCCACCCCAATTTCTTGTAAACAAAATAGAATAACAAAAACACTTCCCCAAAACGCCAACTCAATGAAGCAACGTAGAACGTGTATAAAACAAGCTAAAACTAACAATAATAACAGGGAACAGCAACGTCCTTCTTTTTCATTTTGGTCGAATGTAACATGCGAGCCTTTGGGGTTGATTTGAAACACATTTATTTCCTTCTGATCGATAAAAGCCGAACCGCAATGACAATTCCAACACGATCATAACCCTGGACTGCTCGCACGTGTCTCAGCAGATGAGCCCGTGACCAAAGACGGCGCGTGTGCTAAAGACTCTGGCCTGGTGACGGGTCCAACTCATACTTACCTGGCAGGGGAGATGCCATGATCAAGAAGGTGGATCACCCAGGGTGAGGCTCAGCCATTGCACTGCGGTTGTGCTGACCCCTGCGAATTCCCCAAATGTGGGAATCTCGACTGCAAAATTTCTGGTAGTGGGGGACTGCGTTCGCGC